TCCGCCAGATGCGCCTGAAACCGTTTGTGTAACCGAGTTGAGTAGATTTACGCCAGCATTCACTTGTGGATTGACATTAGCGAGACTTGAAACGGTGTTGCCATCACCAACAATGCGAGCGCCAGTGAATTCTGTGTTGAGAAACCGTTAACGTACAATTGCCACTTTGACGAAAACAAATATATTTACACAAAGAAGTATAACCTTATGCAAAACTTACGGGCTTGACCGCCACCAATATTATTTCTGGATACGGAAGCTTCTGTACCAGCCGAGCTTCCCCTACCATAAGCAGCCGTACCACTAACAGTACCTACTGCGGTCTGCTGAATAGTGTTCAACGCATTCACATCGGCATTTATTTGGGGATTCACATTTAAAAGGCTGAATACTTGATTGCCACTACCCGAAATAGTAGAGCCAGTGTCCACTAAAAGGTACAAGAGGCATTAAAATATCTTTTGAAAACTTTATATTCCACAATTTATACTTACTAACTTGCTTGCCGCCAATGTTGTTGGCAGCACCGCCCACACCACCCAGTACACCACCGAGTAGTCCACTACTTTTACCACCACTACCTCCGGTTACACCACTAACAGTTTGCGTAACCGAATTGAGTAGATTAACTCCAGCATTAACTTGAGGGTTCACATTGGCGAGGCTAGAAACAGTGTTGCCATCACCAACAATACGCGCGCCAGTGGATTCTATGTCCAAAAGGATGGTTTATGTAGAGTTTAAACACTTGTAAAAGAGAGAACTCCCACAAAACTTACGTTGCTGACTACTGCCAATATTATTTCCAGCTCTTCGAACGCCCGCTGCGCTACCTTGACCACGTCCACCCGCTGCAGCGCCTGCCACACCAGCAACAGTCTGCTGTTCAACCACATTCAAGGCATTCACATCGACATTTAATTGTGGGCTGAGATTTAATAAGCTTGTAACTTGGTTGCCACTACCAACAATGCTAGCGCCGCTGTCCACTGAATTACAGTAAAGTAATTCGTAAAATATTAAAAGAAAAATGCAAAATCATAAACTGAAAATTGTTCAGTTGTAAATTGATCGAAATTACTTACTGGCTTGCTTCCCTCCAACGTTATTTCCAGCGCCGCCGACACCACCTAAGAGGCCGCTAGCTGCGCCACCACCGCCTGCTGTACCACTCACAGTTTGTGTGACTTGATTCAGGAGATTCACGCCTAGACCGATTTGTGGATCGACATTTATTAAACTGGACACCACATTTTTATCGCCCACAATTTTGGCGCCCGAGGAACCTGGGAGATTTAGAAAGACACAATTAAGTTGTTAATAAACGCACAGATATGGAGCTTAATAAATTTACTAAGCACTTACTGACTTGCTGCCCTCCGATGTTATTTGGCGCCACCGCCGTGAGTCCCACACTTCGTGAACCACCATCAAATGGCGCTGAGTGAGCAGTTTGTGAAATCGCGTTTAAGAAATTTACGCAAGCGCTGACCTTGGGACTATCGTTGGCGCCATTCATAAAGGTACTACTTTGTCTTTGAGCACCCTTCCTACCTGAACCGGCATCGCCACCACCTGTTGCCCCACTTACAGTTTGTGTAACAGAGTTAAGTAAGTTAACACCGGCGTTCACTTGTGGACTGACGTTGGCGAGACTCGAAACGGTGTTGCCATCACCAATGATATGTGCGCCTGTGGATTCTATTACAAATAAAGAGAAGTTATTGTTTACATATTTACACAG